TTACCCTCCTGCTTTTATCTTATCATTTAATTTTAATTTTATTCTATGTTATTCCAACATTGTCTGGTAGCTGCTGCCATTTATACAGTACATCCCATCGTTCAGTTTCCTTTTGAATTGAACAGTCTTTCATCCCATCTGACAGAATATCCATTTTTTTCACTTCCCATATTTTCACCATAAGATTCTCTGGTTTCATTATCTCTGCTTCCTTGAGATTTTTGACATAATGCTTTTTAATTTTAGAGGCTGCATAGGTCACTGGATAACTCTCTATCACATTTATGTTACTTGGTGTCATGCCTAATACAGACGGTTCTAAAGTTTGTACAGCTTCATTTAAGTTTTGTTTGGCATCTATTGTCCCCTCTTTCATCCCTTTCATCAAATCTATTTTGCTAAGATTTTCATTCACTTGCTGAAACCCTTTTATTATTATCCTAGGAATATTAATCTGCCATTCCTTTTCTATTTCTTGTACCACTGTTCTGAAACTTTGGGATTGAACAGAGCCAGTCTCCATTTGTTCTCTTGAATTTCTGGAATCCATCTCAGGCTTTGGGGTTTGTATAGACAGTACTATACCCTTAACTGCAACAATCACCCCTTAAATATCCTTCCACCGTTTCCACAATTTTATCAACAATCCAAACCCCTCATCATAAACCTCCCCTTAGATCTCCCTCCAATCTTTATCCAAATATTATAATGTAAGATTAACTTTTAAGCCAGCAAATACAGAGTAAAAAAGAACCGTGGCACAGTTTTCCCCCCCTTCTTCTCCTGAGTTCAGCAAGTTCTATTATCAGGCTCACATGCAGTCCGCAATCCGACAGACAAAACAACAATCACCAAGTCTCAAACTGTCCAGTAGTTGTCTTTGAAGCCCATCTTGCGATCTTCATTAACCCCTCAATACCCCTTAGTCCAGTCGACCATGTCAGCTCCTTTCTCCCGAGAAACACCAAATTCTATTATTTACAGTTCACAAAATCCAGGGAAAAGCGAAGAGAGATGTGTCCCAGCCAAACTGCATTCACCACCCTCAAGTCTCTTAAATCCAGTCAGATGGTGTTACTATCTGGGATTCTTTTCCCAAAACATAAGATTTATTTTTCCGTCTCAGACTCTCAGCTTTAGAATCAGCCTGGTGTTTTAAGAGTTCACTTGGAGAAGCTTTGGTTTCGCTTTTGAGTGAGACTGGTAAGATAAACCCACCACCGCTTTTCTTCTTTTAGCCAAA